AAAAAAAAAAAAAAAAAAAAGAGAAAGGTGCCGATTTTGTAGTAGTGGAGAAGATGGGACTAAAATAAAACCATTCTTATTTTCAATAGTGAAAGTAGCATTCTCTCAGTCCACTCACATGTTTCTCTCTCAAACCACCCTGTAAGAAAAAGTGTTTGAGTCCAAATGTCTGACGGTTTGTGGAATATTATAAATGTTTTTTTTCTGGTCAAGTTCTCTCGTGAATAAATGTGTCTTAAAGTATTGGTTTTATACTCCTAAGTGTTTGATTTAATTGAAAATACACGCCAGGCTCAATGGTTCAATCCTGTAATCCCACCATTTTGGAAGGCCAGGGTAAGAGGACTGCTTGAGCCCTCTAGTTTGAGACCAGCCTGGGCAACATAGTGAGGCCCCATCTCTAGGAAACATTTTTACAAAATTAGCCAGGCGTGTAATATGCGCCTGTAGTCCCAGCTACTCAGGAGGCTGAGTGGGAGGTCACTTGAGGGTGCAGTAAGCCAAGATCAGCCTGGGGGATACAGTGAGATCTTGTCTAAAAAAAAAAAAAGAGAGAGAGAGAGAAAGAAAAAGGTACAATGTACAGTAGTTTGCACTAAATGTTAGAAAGTACTTTGTCTAAACAGACATTCTAAAACTTAGGTTGTTCAAAAAATGTACTGTGGGGAAAACTAAACTGGAGGTGTCAAATAAAACAGTACTCTGTAAACCAGGTCTGTCACTCACATTAATACTAGAAGAATTAACAAGCAACTAAAAGTACTCTCTTAGTATCTTTAACGTACGTTTTTAAAACTTTAAAATTTTTTGTAATTGTCAAACATACCTAGAAGAAATAATATAACTGACTCCCCTCATTACTGAATTTTAACAATGATCAATATTTGGCCTTTAAGTATATGTTAAGTATATGTTAGTTATATTCACATTGTTGTGTGACTATCTCCAGAACTTAAAATTGAACTTTTAAAACTAGAGTTCATATGCTGACCTGCAGAGGAATGAAGATTTTAAAAAATAGTTTTGAGTTTTAAACTATTGTTGTCCATTAAGTAAATAAAATATCAAAGATAACTTATTCTTTTACAATACAACCTTTTTTTTGTTACAATTCTGAAATCTTTGCCCTTTGTTGAAGAAAGGTATAAAGACTCCACATGGAACCCAGGATGTATGTAATTGCACACTCAGGATTACTATGAAATCTGGCACTAATCAAACTGATATGGTGTTCCTTTCAGGTTAGCTGTCCCTTCAATCAAGTCCTTCACAGAAGAAATTTCAAATCACAAGTATAAATCTCTGTAGTTGTGCTTCTTTACAAAGTCGTATAATTGAATCTCTTTATATAAAAAAAAAAAAAAAGCGGCTTTTTATTTCTAGACCTCTACTTCAAGTGAAAATTAAACAATTCAATTCATTAGGCTGCTTTTTGGCAGTCTAAATATAGGTTTCACAAACGACTTTTCAGAGAAGTATCTCAGGAGTTCATCGACTGGCAGACCTAGTTAACAGGCCAACCAAACTACAGGGCACTCACAGGTTTCCTTTTTATATCCTGGATTTACTTTTATGTCGCTGGACTACAGGCATACTTAAATCTTACTATAGAATATTTCTGAATTTACATTCTGACTGTTCAACCAGTAGCAGTGATATGGAACCTGATTAGGGTCAATTTCAAACCTCATTCAGGTCTGTAGTATTCTCTTGCTGTAATAAGAATGAAAAGAGCTGGTTGCAACTAAACTAGGTAACAATATAGTAAATGCACAGGCAGAAAAGGTAAGTCACAGGTGACTCCCTTTCCCCACCCCCCGCCCCTTTTTTGGCAATCTAATTTTTAGAAATGCTGGCATTCTGTACTGCATTCAAGGCCCTTTTCTAGTTAAGGGCAAGAAAACAAACAACTCTTAAAGACTGGCCCAGGGAATTGGCAGAAATATTACAGATACCTTAAGACGTATTTTATAACAGAAGTTAAAGTAATATGGTTCTCATAGGTTGCATTTGGTCATTCAACTGCAAGCCTGAGACCCAGAACACAGAAAAGTACTGTTCAAATACATATAAATACTGAGGC